TAAAATTTATTCGTTCGATATAATATTCAGTGAAATTAAAAGTAATAGAGTTCATTGAACTAAAAATATTTCTATATTTTGGTAGTAAAATATCTATGTTAAGAAAGCTAAATTTGTTTCTTAATAAATTAATCAGTATAGGGTTTGTATATTTAAAGATTGATTTATTATAACCAACTTCATTTTCTTCTAAATCTTGTTCAATTATTAATTTTAAAAAATCAAAATCTGGTATAAATGGGCATTTTTCTATTTCTCTTATTTGGTTATATTTTTTGTATTCAGCAAATTGCGTTAATTTATTAATATGCATTTGTTTATAGTTATTTGTTAAATCTGAAATAAAATATTTATGGTTCTGTTAAAATTTCTAAAGTGCTATTACAAACTTTTTTAAAAAAAAAAAAATCCCTTCCTTTTTTTTTTATATATATTGAGTTGGTATAACTGCAATATCTTTTCGATTGAGGGTTTGTTGAATATGTCTCCTGTTAGTATATCGCGTTCTTACTTGTTGCTTGTTTGAAAATTATACTAACAGATTTATGATTTAAAAAAAAATGATTTTAACGCTATAATATATATGTGATTAAGTGGAATATTTATAGTAATATATAGAGGATGAAAGTATTGGAATATATTGGTTATATTTATTAGAGTGAGTAAAATTATAATGTAATTTATATAACTTGCTATTCATTTTGCTGTATGATAGAAGTTTCCTCTAAGATAGGATAAATATTTAACTTATTATTTTTTGGATAGTATTCAGTGAAAAAATTTTTTGTTATTGGTACTGAATTAACATCAATATTTTCTCCTGATTTATAAGAGTTATTTATTATGTCATTTTTATATACTTTATTATAATTATTTGTGTGAGTTTTATGCATCATATAATGAGTGATACTTGAGAATAATCCTGCTAATATTTTGTAACTACATCCAAATGTTTCATATAAAATAGAGAAATTAATTATTGTATTGATACCTATTAATAATAATTTACCTATTAAAAATATTCCAAGAAAACCTGAGGCTATATTCCCTACTACAGTGAATAATCCCCATAATTTTTGTAATTTTTGTTCAACTAAATTTTCTATTGTATATTCATCGATGATAGATTTTAGTTTTAAATTTTGATTATATATACTGTATCCCATTGATTCTCTAGCTAAATTACTTTGAGCTGCTACAACTTCTGCTGGAAATAAGAGATGTTTTTGGAAAGTTTGCATTAAATCTTTTGGATATAATCCTGCGTTCATTAAATAATCAGGTGTTCTATGTGACCAAGTGAATGCTGTTTCAGGTAATAATATTTGTGGTGGATTAATTTCTTTAAAGTGTGGAGATAAAGTGAACCAAACATTTTCTAAGAAATAGGCTGGTGGTAATAAGTCATTGCAGTCTATTTCAGTTCCATAGTTGAGTAGTACATGAGTCTTGGGCATTAAATATTGAGTTTTATTTTGATAAATTACAGGTAATTCATTAAAACAATTAGTGGTTTTTGC